GAAGCACAGGCTTTATGCAATGAATATAAAACATTGCTGGAAGCAATTTAAAAATGCTTAAGGCTGGGCTCGGTGACTCAGTCTGTAATCTCAGCACCTTGGGAGGCCAAGGCAAGTGGATTGCCTGAGCCCGCGGATTCGAGAACCACCCGGGCAACTTGGCGAGACCTAATCTCTACAATAAATCAAATATCAGGCTGGCGTGATAGCAGGCGCCTGTAGTTTCGGCTACTTGGAAGGCTGAGGCAGAAGGATCGTCAGAGCCCAGAGGGTCGAGGTTGTGGTGGCCGGGAGCATGCCACTGCACTCCAGTCTGGGCGACAGAGTGAGACTCCAACTCAAAATAAATAAATAAAAATAAATAAAAAGTGCTTAAAAACTGAAAAGACATGCCATGAATTGAAAGGCTTAGTATTATTAAGATGACAATTTTCCCTAAAGCAATCCTTACCAAAAATCCCAGCTTTCTTTCTTTTTTTTTTTTAAATTGACAAACTGATCCTCAAATTCAGATGGAAATGCAAGGGACTCAGCAAAAGCAAAAACAATGAGGAAAGGAAGAGCAAAATTGAAGGATTCACACTTCCTGATTTCAAAGCTTACTACAGAGCTACAGTAAGCAAGGCTGTGTAGTATTAGCATATACGGATTAATATACAGATCAATGGAACAGACTCAAAAGACCAGAAAAAACTCTTACATATATGGTCAATTCGGGGGAGGAAAGAAAAGTCTTTTGAAAAAATGGTGCAGGGACAAGTAGACATTCATGCAAAAAAAAAAAAAAAAAAAAAAAGTAGGTGGATCCCTATCTCATACAAAAAATTTGCTCAAAATAAATAATACAACTACATTTAAAAGCTACAATTATAAAACTCTAAGAAGAAAACACAGAAGTAAATCTTGTGGCCTTGTAGCAGGTAATTGTTTCTTAGACATAAAACCAAATGTATAAGAAACAGAAAAAGGACTTCATAAAAATTAAAAAACTTTTGTGTTTCAAAGAACACTATGAAGAAATGAAAAGACAATCCATAGAATGGAAATATTTGCAAGTCATAATCTGTAAAAAACTTTTATCCAAAATAAATATAAAGAATTCTTGTGCTTGAGCAATAAAAAGACAACCCAATTTAAAAATAGGCAAAGGATTTGAATAGGCATTTCTCCAAAAAAGATATACAAATGGCTAAAAAAGCACATGAAAAGATGCTCAATATTATTAGCCATTAGGGAAATGCATACCAAAATCACAGTGAGATACTACTTAATATTCACTTGGTTTACTTTAATACAGAAGACAGATAAGAAGTATTGATTAGGACATGGAGAAATTGGAACACTCATACCTTGATGGTGGGAATGAAAAATAGTACAGCTACATTGGAAAGCAGTTTGGCAGTTTCTAGAAAGTTAAATGCGGAGTTTCATAAGACCCAGCAAATCCACTTCCAGGTGTATATACCTGAGAGTACAGAAAATCTGTGTCCACATGAAAACTTGCATACACATGTTCCCAGTAATGTCACTCACAACAACCAAAAAGTAGAAACAAGCTAAATGTCCATCAACTGATAAATGAATAAACAAGTAAGGCATGTTCATACAATGGGTTCAGGCATAAAAAAGAATGAAGTGCTACAATATGGATGAAACTTGTAAACACTATGCTAAGTGAAAGAGGTCAGACGTGAAAGGCCACATACTGGATGTGAAATGTCCTGAACAGGCAAATCCATAGACACAAAAAGTTTGATTAGTAGTAGTCAGGAATTTGGGAGCAGGGGTAATGGGGGTATCTGTTACGTCTTTTAGGATGAAGAAAATGATCTAAAATTAAATAGTGGTGATGGTTGCACAACTCTGAATATACTAAAAAACCACTGAATTGTATACTTTAAAAGAATGAATTCTATATTGTGTGAATTCAATCTCAATAAAGTAGTTATTAAAGAAAATCAACCCATAGTCTCTGGGATCTGGGGGAAAATCCCTTTGTTAGTAAGCATACTCATTTTCATAGACTCTTGGTCGTAAATACTAAGTGGAGAAAATGCCGATTATTGGAACCCTTTCTCTACAAGCATGAACTTCCTTTTTAAAGATGTCTCTGGAAGAATACTTCATTCCCATTGTAAAATCACTTTGAAATGAGGAAGACTGCCTTATGTCTTTCATAATTTTATTCTTATTAAACTAAGATGATCACATTCATAAATGTAAGTCATAGATGGTAATGATCATGTGGATTATTAAAGATAACAAACTTTTTTTTTTTTTTGAGTTGAAGTCTCACTCCGTCACTCATGCTGGAGTGCAGTGGCTCACTCACCGCCACCCCAGCATCCACCTGCTGGGCTCAGGCGATCCTTCTGCCTCAGTTTTCCAAGTAGCCTGAACTACAGGCACACACTACCATGCCTGGCTAATTTTTTGATTTATTATAGAGGTGAGGCCCACTAAGTTGCCCAGGTTTTTCTCGAACCCATGGGCTCAGGCAATCTCCTCACCTCGGCCTCCCAAAGTGCTGGGATTACAGGCCTGGAGATACAACATTTCTTAACTCTGAGTTTTGACACAGGTCAAACTTCCTTGCATGAATTTTTATCTGTGCCTTTATCCCTCACCAAAGCTAAAGCTCCTATCTTTTCTTCACTTCTGTGAAGTGATTGTTCTAAGTCAGTCTCTTTAGCTATAAAATGGAATTGTAATTTCTTCCAGGGTTCCTGTGAGGAAGAAGAGACATGCCAGGCTTGTGTTTTGTAATTTGCAGTGAGCAGCTATAGAAAGGCTCTCCTGAAATAATCCAAATGGCTTCTGGGAACTGTCTTATCCTAAAAGCTTCTTCTTTTTTTTTTTTTTTTTTGAGTTGGAGTCTCACTCTGTCGCCCAGACTAGAGTGTAGTGGCTGCTCCCGTCCACAGCAGCCTCAACCTGCTGGGCTCTGGCGATCCTTCCGCCTCAGCCTTCCAAGTAGCTGGAACTACAGGCATGCGCTACCACGCCTGGCTAATTTTTTAAAAAATTTTTTTATTGTAGAGATGAGGTCTCGCCAAGTTGCCGACACGGGTCACGAACCCGCGGGCTCAGGCATTCTACTCACCTCAACCTCCCAAAGGCGCGGGATTACAGGCTGAACCACCAAGCCCGGCTCTAAAAGCTTCTTAAATGAAGAGAATGGGTGAGAGCAAGTCCCTGGCTCTCCATCCAAACTTTGGTCTCTTTATTCCTTTTATTATTTCTGGTATGATTAGAGAGCACTATTTTATAGGAAATGTACTTTGTTGAGTGGCTATGTAATTCAGGCTCATTTGCGCCTGAAGTTTCTAAGCTTACTTTTGTGTATTGGTTTCATTTCTACAGAAAAATTAAAAAATATTGAAATAAACATTTTTTTTTTATATGTAGAATGACAGACTCTACCTAATAGAAGCTGGTAGCCAAGAAACAGGGGGAAAACTGAGTGGAATAATTCCAAAGACTTGCTTTGGTTCTGTTTTTGGCAGCCCAGTATTAGCTGCAGTCCAATGAAGCAGCAGTGTAGAAAAAAAACCCCAAAACTATAAGGCTAGTTTATTAGCTACATTCAAATACTTTAGCACAGCCAAAGAGAAAAATTACAACTAGGTGGAACAAGAACATTTGTTTGTTGTAAAAATATCTTCAAAAATGAAAAACATGCAAAAAATTAATGACAATTTTCATCCTAAATCACCACAAAGCAAATCCATTTTCATTAGGTTAAGTGATATACTATTTTCTTGTATATACACACACATACACAGGTGCACACACGTATGTGGTATAAAAAAAGTTCCATTTTATTTTTAGATGTTTCCATTTTATTTTTAGATGTTTCTTGAGGAGAGGACATCACTTTTATAACACTTAACACGTTTATGTTGCATAGCCATGTTGGATACAGGCTGTGTAAGTTCCAGAGTCAGACAATCAGTTGTACCTCCCCAACTATCTAGCTGTTGTCCTTGAACAAACTGCACAACCAAACTACATAGTGGTGATATTTGCATAACCCTGTGAATATACTAAAACCTCAGTTTCCTCATCTATAAAATGGTGATAATGATAGTCCTTATCCCTCAGGGTTGTTGTGAGAATTAAATAAAATACTCCATGGAAAAGGGCTTTTTACAGTGACTGGCACAAGATAAAGTTTAAAAATAATTAGCTATTTATTTTCCTAATGATAATGATGTATATGTCTATTACTTGTGTTAGATAACAATGAATCCACCCTAACCTGCTTAGAACATTAACTGGACTAAAGCTTTACACTGTAATACATACAGAATATTTGGGACATGAAACATAAAGAAAATCTTTAATGTTTAACAAAATGGAACATATGTGTCATTTGTTCTGCATAGTTTCATTTATTCTCGAGTTTCTCAGTGCAGTTTATAGGGGAATTGAAGGAAGAAAAGCATTAACACAGGAAGGAAAAAAAATCAATCTGATGGACATGAATACTGCCACCAAACTAGCCTAGGGATTTATTCGATGACACTGCTTTACTGTTAACCTTCATCCATATCATTTATTATTTGGGGGAACTGCTGCAGAGAGACCAGAAAGAAAATAGAATAATAATGTTTTTATGGCTCCTAATGTAGATTGTTATTGAAAATCTGTCAATTTCACTGGCAAGCTTTTGGCTCAAAAATAAGATCTTCATTTATAATTTGCAGGCAGTGATAACTAAAATTATGGGAAGTAACTAGGAAATAAAAAATATTGTGATGAAAATTACATAATTATCGTTCTCATTAAAAACATGAGGTATTCTATTATTCTTGGAATGTACAATATACTCTTTAATAGCTGCTGTTACCAAACTAAAACACATCAGAATGAGAAATAAAATACACTACTGATCACTCAGATGATAAAAAAAAAGTACTACTAAAAATGTGTGCAAAGTGGAAGAATAGAACCTAGCAGGGTGTATTGCCCACATACGTAAACCACAAACCACTTACAGATACTTCAGGGATTGGTCTCAACTTGTCCCCTGAGATTTTTTTAAGGGAGGTTTTGTTTAGTGAAGCTGGCACTTGATAGGCTGGTAAGTCCTTCGCTTTGATTAGGGGCTCTGGAGTTTTCTGAGTGGATCCACACCTTCGTCCAGGGGGAGAAAGACATGCTGTAGGCAACCAATTTGTTTGAAAGTTGTTTCTATCTATTTGCTTCACCAAGGAACTCTGGCTTTCTGCGGCTCCTGCTTCTGTGTAGGCACTTTTTAGATATCCTTTACTTGTTGGCCTTACAGCGTTCCCCGGCATGCTCTCTAATGTTAACTGAGTTAACCCTGAAGGACTAGTTGTTGGGCCTGGTGAATCCTGGATACTGTGGTTACCCTACATTGGGGAACAAAGTAAAAATTATTTTGAGCAAAAGTTTGTGGTTACTAAATACAAGTTCTCAATAAGTTTATATATTCTACGAATAAAGCAAAAATATATATGTTTTTTACTTTACTCTGCAAAGAAAAATATGAGTAACTAAAAATAGCAATGCAAATAGATATAAATCATTTGCTAAAATGTCCTGCTACATGGTATTTGGTCTGGATATACCATATTTTTTACCCATGAATAACAAGACAATATTTAAGAAATAGTTACTCATATCATTCTAAAAGATATATCATACTCATGTCTAAAACAAGAAAATCTATAGGAAGTTACCTAAAATATCCAAGAGTAACGTATTTTGATTTCTTGATAAGATAACTCCATGGGAAGAGAAATAAGTAGAACTTATGATATTTAGAGAAACAATACTGTAGAGAAACAATACTGTAAATACAATTGTGGCTAGCAAAGTATTTTGCCTCATTGTAGGGCAATTTTATTGTGCAAGAGCAATAAATAATGGAACATGTTTTATATTTTTTTTGCAAAATATGAACTTCATTGAGTATAATTATTTGGAAAGCTGAGGAACTTCATTAAGTATAATTATTTGGAAAGCTGAGAAAAATTTTACAAGTGCATAGTTCTGTGATTACCCATAGAACAGTAAAGTTAAAATTTTTAAAATCTGAAAAAAAGAAATCATATACATAAAATCAATGGCCATGAAAGTAAATAATGGGAATGATAAATGTAGGGCCATTTCAATTGGTAGACTTTTATGCTGTAAAATAATACACTTAAAGAAATAACTGTGTGACTATTGCATGTACTTGACATGGTAGATTTTCGCAGTCTGACACATCTATTTAAATATATAAGTAAATGAGTGTTAAACGATAAACTTCAAATAGAGAAAAAACAATAAAAGTAGAGTACATTTTAAAGACAATATTTGGTGTCTGACAATGTATATCTTAATGTGATGTTGGTTGACAATGTATATCTTAATGTGATGTTGGTTCTTGCTTCAATTTTAGCAGATGGGTGTTGTGGCTCATGCCTGTAATCTCAGTAGTTTGGGAGGTCAAGGCAGGATTATGACTTGAGCCTAGGAGTTTGAGACCAGCCTGGGCAACACAGAGAGATCTTGTCTCTACAAAAGTAAAAAAAATTAGCTAAGCGTGGTGGCACATTCCTGTAGTCCCAGCTGTTCTAGAGGCTGAGGCAGAAGGATCACCTGAGTACAGGAGGTTGAGGCTGTGGTGAACTGTGATCATGACGCAGCACTCCAGCCTGGACAACAGAGTAAGATACTGACTAAAAAAAATTTTTTTAGCAGAATGCATGTTGCTCTGATTGGGGCTCTTTTCAAACTGATGTCTTATCCTTCTTAGCACCTCAAAGTAGATCCTGTTCAGATATGTTATAAGAAATTAGTTCAAGTTTATTTTGGTGCAAACAGTTTTTTGAAATCATAACACATATTTTCCATGGACTTTTTGAAGTCCCTTTGTACACTTGGGTCTTAAAACCTCTCCCAATAGCTTATATATAGTAAGGGATGAGAACTGCAGACTGTTTAAAGATCTTTTACTAACATTTCTTTTTAATACTCATTCTGGGCATAAATTTTCTTTGCCTATGTTAGCTTTTTCTTTTGATACAAAGACAAACACCCCCCCAACATATTTATTTATTTATTAATAATGGAGAGATTTATCTTTCAAAATCCCAGACAGAGTAAAGAAAAGATGGTGATTGGGTGTCAATTCATGGGCTCTTACTTTGTGGCTTAAGTGAAAAAATAAGAAGGGTAAGAATATTCCTGCATTTGCAACAGTCCATGTGGCCTCAGTTGCAGGCTTTGGGCAGTTTCTCTGCTCTAGGCCATTTACTGAGTGAGCTCATTCTTCTCCATCATTCTGGGTACCTCAGTGAAGTTCATATGGTTGAAAAACTTGCCTTTAGGCAGAAAACTGGAGAGACTACCAGAGATACTTGGAAAAATGCCCAGTGTTCTAAATTACTAGGTAATAGTGTGGTGACTCTTCTAATTTTTTCAGAGATAAATAAAGAATTAAATTTTATTGTTGTCTAGAGGAGAAGGTAGACAAAAAATAGAGAAGACATCCCACAAACCTTAGTTCTAAGAAGGCATTGGTGGGACTAGCATATATGTTTTTTAAAATTTGGTCTGACTGCTAGACAGTGCTAGCTCTTCTCCAATTAAAAAAAAAAATTCCAGTTTAATTTCCTATAATTGTTATATACAATTAGCAGTGGAATTTCTTAGATCAAAGACTCTCTACTCATTCATTTCCATCATATTTTCCTAATAAAAAGGGACATACTTGATACATGACATAGGAAGAAATTGAAAACTTTTACAAAAAACTTTAATTCTTTAAGCTTCCACTCTGTGAAAGGCATTTTTAAGACACTACAGAAGATAAACAGGTGAGAATGACATAGACTCTGCCCTCAAGAGGTATAAAGTCTAATGGCAGAGAGAAGATTCCTGAAAAGTAATAATGTCATAAAGTAGAAGGCAGTAAATGTCATTTAAAGAATTTCAGATGTACTATTTTGGGAATTTGAAGGGCTTTATGGAAACACTATATGTTTGCTGCATCATCCAGAAAACATCTTAAAAATCAATCTATTTGGTAAGAAGTCTATTTGTCTATCTGTGATGGGTCAGAATATAGCATTTTCTTCCAGTAGTTTACTCAGGTATAAAGTATTTCTCTCTGCCTGGCATGAGCAGTGGTTATACACACAGAGATATTCATGAGTATGTATATGGACATTCATCTTGCAGTTTTCTTAAGATATATTCTGGTTTGTATGTTAGGCGAGAAGCAGATGGATTTAGTTGTGTATCCTGGTGAGCATTCTCCTGGTTGTATTGCTTTCCATGGCAATATTTTTCCATGATATTTTAAATATATAGAAGGGACAAATAATTGAAGAATCTGGACAGGGTACAAAAGGCTTGTTTACCTTGCCCCAGAACTATAAATTCTGGTTTACCTCAGCTTCTGAAAGAGGAGTTGAGATGAACAAGAAAGGCAAGATGATACACGAAACTAAATTTAAGTAGTATTTTAATTGCATTGGATCTGCTCCTCATTTAGAAAGGAAATAAATGGAGAATAAAAAATACTATATACAGTATTTACTAGTGCACTGGCGAAACTCTGTTCCTTTCTTTAGTTATACTTTTGCTTTTTAAAAAATAAAATAGAGATGATGTTTACTGATTGCACATATGTAATTCATTTCAGCTCAACATGTTTTTGAATGAATTTTCTTCCATATAACATATAAATTTGTTATATGCACGAAATGTTAGCTTACTGTGATCTGATTGAAAAAACCAGTTTTTTTCCTTCTGGTTTATCATTTAGCTACTGAAAACCTGTATAGCAATTGAATATAATTTGTCAGAGTAGCAAAGAAATTGTCATGCCATTTTCACATTCCAATCATCTGTTCATCTGTTTCTCAGAAGAACAAATATAAAATGCTTTTGATTTAACTTAATATATTTTTTTAAAAGTCCCAAATCTCTTGAACCATTTGTCTTCTGGGCTCAGAAACTTTTGTTTGTTAAATATTCAATCACGCCCCAGTGCCAGGAACATCAATAGAGTTTGCCTGATTAACTGTAGCACAGCATATGTACGCCAAAGATGAGAATGATTTCCCCAAGGAGCAGCACTTCCTCTGTTGAACTACATTTCTTAAAAGGACATGCAGATGGGCATTTGGACAATAATTTCTGGCTGCACAAAATGGATTGCTCTTGCTGAGATGTAATTTTAAAAAGATAATTTTAATGACTCTTGAGGGCCACCTACTTGGAGCAGATGGGACCCAGTCTCTTTGTACCATAACTTTAATGTTGAGAGACTCAGGATAAAATTCGATTTCAGCCTTTGTAAAAATGGACAATCATATTTACTTATATTTCAATTGAGTTTTTAATTCAGTCCACCACGAAAAAAGTTTTGTGTAACATTCTTAAAAGCTCCATAACAAAACACATCTGCAATATTCAAAACACACTTTTGATGGTGGTTTTGAATTTGTAGTTGAGATTAAGTTAGGAGGAGTTTTACTTTTACTTTTGGCTATCATTTTATTGACAAAACATGTGAACTGACAGCACCTATTAGTTGGACAACAGCATTTGCAAACAACACAGTACAGGTAAACTTCTGTCAACTAAAGAATACAGTTATTTTCACAAATACAGTTCAAGAAAGTCATACCAGATTGAAAATAACATTTATTCTCTGATGATAACAAGGCTTATCATTCAAATGTATCTTAAATATATTCATAACTTCCCCAAGAAGTACTTGTACTTCTGTCTCTTGAATGTTATAGTGAAAAGTCTGAAAAATCCATGTCTATATAGCCTATAGAAATCTATACAAGCTTGCTAGCCATTTTAAGTTACTTGCAGTTGCCTGCTTGAAAGAACACCCTCCCCCACCACATAACCACAACTGTTCTTGGCCTTTGAACTGTAACTGATAGCTTCTTCTTTGAAATCCCTGACCCCACCTGCATCCTGTTTCAAAAAATATCTGTTTTGCAAAAATGTCCCTGGCCAATGGCCAAGTAAGTAAACATAAAACAGCAAGATTAGCAACAGGACCCCTTCCCTATTTTCTGTTCCTTTTCGATATGCAACCTTTAGTTACTATAGTTACAGAAACTGTGTTTTTCAGAGCTGTGTTACATATATAAACCCCCTGCTTGCTTCACTTGGGGCTGAGAGATTTTTGGTGGCATTAGCCCTCTCTTGGTCGCTGGCTAGTAAAGGACCAGAATCTGACTCTCTGTGTCTGTTGGCAATTCATTTCTCACACTCCGGTCATGACAACAGGAAACTATGTGAGAGGACATACATGAAATCAGTAAAGCCAAAGAGCAGCCATTTTAACATTGCTTAGCTTTGTCATGATTTTCTAGCAGTTCACTTTAAC